TAACACTTGTTGAAATTTTGTGAAAAATTTACAAGTTGAAGTTAAATCGAGATCACGTTTGAACACTTGTTGAAATTTGTGAAAAATTTACAAGTTGAAGTTAAACCGAGATCACGTTTAACACTTGTTGAAATTTGTGAAAAATTTACAAGTTGACGTTAAGCTGAGATCATGTTTAAACGCTTGTTGAAACTTGAGTTTACAAGTTGAAGTTAAACTAAGTTTATATTGAACACTTGTTAAAATTTTGCAAAAAATTTACAAGTTGAGACCAAGGCTATACCAAGAAAGGTACTTATGTACTTGCCGAGGTAAACCATTGGTTTGTATAACCGAGGCGTATCACCCCGAGAAGGTTGCACAAGACTAAGGTGTATATTGAAGACACAAAATTATTCTAAGTATGAAAGCCATACAAGAGCAGTAAAGGGAAGACAAACATGCAAGCGTTCAAAACAAAGAAGTTATATTTATAAGAAGGCACATCGGCCATGTGAAGAGCTTACATTGTTTCAAAAGGAAAACAAAGTGCAAGGCACAGAAGGAAGAGAAAAACATAAAACTAAGATTCTTTGGCGCCACTAGCAGGTTGGGTCTGGATCTCGGAGGACTGCTGAGAAGATATCTCGGCGGCCTTCTCAGCCGCGAGCTCGGCGTCAATTTCTTCCAGGGTTTGGTCAAGGCTCTTGTCAGCAATAGGCACGTCCGACCTTGCCTTTTCAAGGGTAGCATCTTTGGGAACCTCCTCACCCTCCTCATCCTGAGTCAAGTCCAGGACTTGCTCATTTTGAGTAGGGGACTTGGCCCCATCAGCCTCCTTTAACTTGCTCACCAAAGCTTCCTCTTCAGACTCAGAATCGTGGTAGGATTGGCTTGGAGTTGGGGGGGAATGGCAGGGCGAGGACGTCGGTGTTCCTGACGGGGAGTCCTCGGGGACTTTAAGCTTTTTCAATAAAGCCATCCAACCAAGGGTGAAACCCTTGTTGCATGCCTACTTCACCTGACGCTCGTAGTCCACCGTGACATCGACCACCCCCTCAGCATATGCCTTTTCATTTGCGGCCTTGACCTCGGCCGATTTGGTGGCCAAAGCATCGTAGAGTTCCTTTTGGGCCTCGGCTGTCTTTTCTTTGGCCTCTTTCTTTTCTGGGCCTCAAGAACCTTGTTTATGGCATCAGCAGCATCTGCTTTTTCCTCAGCCACATCTTTGGCTTTGACAGCAGCCTCGGCCTGGTCTGCTAAAGTCTTCATTTTTTATTGTAAGCTTTTATTGGTCTTTTGCAGACTAGTAAAATCCCTAGCCTTGTCAGCCAACGCCTTCCTTGTCTCAAAAGATTGCATTGAGAAGGAGTGGGCCTGCTGGATTGCCTAAAGAAAAATAGACAGAGCAGAAGTTATTAGAAAATTTTTTAAGTATAAAAAAGAAAGAAAGATACCAAGTGTGAAGACTTACTTGAACAGAGCGCTTGAGCATCAGAGCAAAATTTTCATACTCGCTCATCTCGACGTTTCGATCAAGATCGTCAGGAAGAAGCAAAGCGGTACTAAAAGCGACGCCGACATTAACGTTGTCGGCACTATCATTCACTTTGACTAGCCTATCCTCCAAAGTGATTGGTGGAGCCCAGGGGGCATCTGATTTCGTTGGCCCCGAGGTCATGGCAGACTCGGACCTCAGCCTTTTTGACCGAGTTGATTGGGATCGTTGGCCCTCGGAGGGCCTCTTCTCGGGGGCGGAGGTGGTCTTCTCGCTCGAAGCCAATTTTGAAATTGGCAAGGTGTCCTCAGTATCAATCTGAGTCACCGTTGCCTTTGGCTGAGCCTTCTCTATCCTTTTTTGTTTCGGCTTTGGTTGAGATGGTGCTGGTTCAGCGTCAACAGTGGCCGGGATGTTGGCCAAGAGGTCCTTAGCAACTGCTTTCTGACGGCCCATCTCAGCGGCAAAAACTGTTCGGCGTCGTCTACGGCGTTGAGATGGCGGGATCAGCTGTGGTGTCAAGGTAGATGGTTGTTCTGCTGGATCTGAGGTTGAACGCTGATTCGGCCGAGAAGAATAAGCTGTTGGTGGAGTTGTGGCGGAAGGAAGAGACTTGCTTTTTTGCTTCCTTGGGATGTCAGGAAGTACCAACTTGTAGGTCGGGATGAAGTTGAGTACCAAAGGGGCTCTGCGCTTGTGGACTGGCAAATCCAGTAGCTTCTTCAGACCTTTGCTGGGGAAAAAGGACTCGCGAAAGCCTTTTTCTGGTTAGGGAAAAGCTGCAAGGAAAAACAGACATTAGAATAATTAGAGTATTGAAGACTTTAAAAACAAGTAAGTATGAACACATGGCTCTTACCATTACCCTCTACAAAAACTGTTCGATGATGAGGGAAGAGGTGAAGGTCCTCATCTGGAGCGAACTCCCAGTTCCCCGAGACAATGAAGCAATCATCCCCAGCTCCGTTGTGGGAGTCTGGAAGGTCGGCAACAATTTTGTACTTTGTGAACCTCGGTTTAAGGTAATAAATGTAGCCTTTCTCTAACTTGATGTCACTCATGGTGTAGCAGTATTAGATGTCGGCTAAAGTTACCCTAACACTCTCGTCTTTGGCTAAGGCTATTATGCCGTTGATAACTTGGTAAGAGTTAATGGCGAGCTGCATTGGGTTCAATTTATAGTAATGAAGGATTTCTCGGAAGAGGATGTCGAGTGGGAGCCTAAGTCCGCACTCTATGAAAGCTACAACAGGGAAGGGCATGGAGTGATCCGTAGACATAATAGAGTCATCCTCTTCTGCCAACCTGAGATGAACGTCGGCAGGAATGGAAAACTCCTGCCTGAAATATTCTAAGTTGGTCGGGGTGTCTACCCTATGCTTCCACATCCCCATGACATCGGCTTAATTGGAGGAGTTGGATATCAGAAGAAAGTGTTTTGGAAGGGTTTGAGGGACCTTGGCTAAAACCTAAAAATGTGCTATGGTAAGAGTTTGTATTGATCTAAAGGGAATTCGTGTCAGTTTTTCCTAAGGTTCGTAAGTTCTATAGACAAATCCCAATCCTAAGACTAGGAAAGTGAAGATTGAAGGCAAGGATCTAGAAAAAAACACAGCAAACAGAAACAGGAACGTGATTCAGAATCAAGAACAGTGATGAACT